AAGACCTATCCAGGAAAAGATTGTAATTGCGACCATCAATTTTTATCAGCTGAATTCCGCATGAAGTTAAGAAACAGTCCAAAAACAGGAAATATAACAACTAAATGGCATCTAAGATATAACATTCCGTACAAAAAAGCCGCAATGCAAAAGCTATGTGACTTCAAACAATCATTAAATCCAGACGAGTCCTCAAACAGCATATGGACAAAAACAAAATCCATATTGCATAATGCTGCGAAAAATATTAAGAGTGATAGAGAAGAAAGAAGGAAACAATGGATAACGGACTCCACGTGGACTAAAATACAGGAGAGGAAGTGCTTAAAAGCCACAGGACTGAACAGTGAAAGTGATAAAGGGGCCTATAAAGCGCTGAACGGTCAAATAAAACGACTCTGCAAAAAGGACAAGAACACACATTTGAACAAAATCTGCATGGAAATAGAAGGGCATAAAACCAAAACTGAGACCAGAGACATGTTTAAAAAAATAAAGCAGATAACACGTTCCTTTACACCAAACTACCCTGCTATCAAAGATGATAACGGAACTCTACTCACTTCTAAAAAAGATATTTTACACAGATGGAAAGAATACTGTGGACGACTGATGATAGAGGAAAGCACAGACGCCCCATCACAACAAGAAGATGCCAGTTTTGCGACGGAACCTGACGTACTCAAAAGTGAAGTTGAAGCAGCAATTATGAGGCAAAAAAGTCAAAAAGCTGCCGGTCCAGATAACATACCTATTGAAATGATTTGGACCCTAGATGACGTTGGAGTGGATATAATACATCAAATTTGTCAAAGAGTGTGGGAGACAGGTAAATGGCCTGAGGACTGGACACAATCACTATATATTCCCATACATAAAAAGGGAGCGAAAGATTTATGTAGCAACTATCGCACAATTGCTCTAATTGCGCATTGCAGTAAGATACTCTTACACATAATTCTCGAGAGGATAAAGCCCTTTTTACTACCTAACATTGCGGAGGAACAAGCAGGTTTCGTCCCAGGACGTGGTACTAGAGAACAAATTTTAAACGTACGGCAGATTGTAGAAAAATCCAGAGAATTCAACATCACAACATATTTGTGATTCATAGATTATAGTAAAGCTTTCGATTTGGTCAACTGGAGTAAAATGTGGCAGGTTTTGTCTGAAATGGGAGTCCCTAATCATCTGATACTGCTAATTAAAAGCCTGTACAATAACAATTATGCCAGAGTTAGAATAAATGGGGAACTAACTGACAGTTTCAGGGTCATAAAGGGCGTGAGACAAGGCTGCATACTAAGCCCAATTTTATTTAACATCTATGGTGAATGGATAATGCGGAAAGCTACTGAGGACTGGAACGGTGGCATCACCATTGACGGGAAGAAGATTTGCAACTTGAGATATGCAGATGATACTACTATCCTCGCTAGTTCTGAAAATGAATTGATTCACCTGCTACAACGGATAGAAGACGTAAGCTTAACGATGGGCCTTAAAATAAACAGGGATAAAACGAGAATCATGATAATTGACAGAGCTAACAACAATCAAAATCATCTGGTTAGGATAAACAATATCGCTGTTGTAGATAAATTTGTGTATCTGGGCTCATTAATAACCAACAAAGGAGGCTGTACTGAAGAAATAAAGCGGCGGTCAGCAATCGCAAAAAGCGCTATGGCAAAATTAACAAAAATTTGGAAAAGCCATGAAATTACTACCGATACAAAAATGAGGCTAGTAAGAAGTCTAGTTTTTCCAGTTTTTACTTATGCATCGGAATGCTGGACCCTTACTGAGAAAGACAAAAAGAACATAGATGTATTTGAGATGTACTGCTGGAGACGAATGCTGAGAATACCATGGGTGGCCCGAAGAACAAATGAATCCATACTGGTCCAGCTAAACATAAAGAAAAGACTAAGAACACAAATAACAGAACAGATAATAAGCTATTTTGGACATGTGCTTCGAAGAAATGGTCTTCAAAAACTTACCATCCAGGGAAAAGTAGAAGGCAAAAGAAGTAGAGGTAGATCTCCTACACGATACACGGACCATATTGTTGCTACCATTGGCGCTCCATTGTCAGAATGTGCTAGATTGGCAGAAGATAGAAAAACGTGGAGAAACATTGGAAAATTACCTAACAGCTTCATGATATCACGATACCTGCATCAGGTTAACGACTAAGAAGATAAGACACAAAAGAAAATTATGGCGAAAATATAAACGTACAGGTGATACACGTGATTTACAAACTCACAAAAACTACACGGTAATACTAAAAACGTATATCAATGAAGCCAGAATGGCATATGAAGAATCTATTGTAAGTTGCAACGATTCTAAAAAACTGTATAAATATGTTAAGTCTGCTATGTCTTCTAAAGTATCAATTCCCTTGTTAAAAAAGAACGATGAAACGATTTGTCAGAATACGTATGAGGTCGCTAATATTCTTGCATATACATTTTCTGTTTTTGCTATTGAACCGTCTCAAAATCAGTTTCCTATAGTCAGTCTTTCAAGGGTTATTCCCAAAATTGATGACACCGATTTTTCACCTGAAATCATTAAACGCCATATTGACAAATTAAAAAACAACTCATTTCCAGGGCCCGATAAAATTTCTACATTATTTTTGAAAAAATGTTCAGATGTGCTCTCTATTTCACTATCACTAATAATGCGTTTATTTTTTAATGCACACACTTTGCCTCGAATTTGGAAGACTGCCTCGGTGACACCTATATTTAAAAAAGGAAATAAGTTAGATCCCAATAATTATAGACCAATAAGCCTTACACCCATCTGTTATTTGTAAAGCTATGGAATCAATTATCACATAGTCTCTTTCAGAATTATTGCTTCGAGAAAAAATTATTCCTCTACAACAACATGGATTTGTGAAAAGTCGATCAACCATGACTAATTTACTGTGGTGTGTTAATGAATGGACATCAGCATTGGATAAAAAACGACCTATAGATGTTATATATTTAGACTTTGCAAAAGCATTTGATCAGGTACCAAGAAGAAAATTGATTGTATAAACTAGAACACTTTGGCTTTCGCGGACAACTTATTGAGTGGATTAATGATTTTTTAACAAATGGGAAGTTTTGTGTTAGAGTTGGCAAATCGCTGACATTAAAAAAAAAACAGTTTTAAGTGGTGTGCCGCAAGGATCTGTTTTGGGTCCACTATTATTTATGTTGTATGCTAGTGATCTTGATTCTCATATCATATCTAGGAAAGCTTTCTACGCAGACGATACAATAGTATATTACATAACGAGAGTTGTAAGAAGTTTATTACATGCGAGTAAAAAAGTTGCGCGCGAGCCGCGTAGCGGCGAGCGCAGTAATTTTACAAGCATGTAATAAGCTTACAACTCAAGTTGTGTACTATACTTTTTCTACCATTATTTTCGTTTATAAAAATAAAAATTAAATTACCACTATATTTACACTGACAGATTAATAATTTTTAATCTGTCAAAATAACGTCTGGTAATTCGTTTCCATGGTAACTCGACCAACTGACTTACAAGGCTTATGTGATATTACACATTTTTATAGAACTGAAGCGTAATTTTTTTTATTACGTGCTAGTCATTACGTGTCAGTATCTGTTATGATGCATTTACTTAGCATCCAAATAGTAGGTAATATACAATTTACTAGTAAGAGAGTAGAAAAAAATATTTACTGACTCACTTTTGAATGGACAAGACTTACAAAGTGACAAAGATTCTATCTTCAAGTGGTGTTCGAATTGGATGTTACCTCTAAATAGAGATAAGTGTGTAGTTTTACATTTGGGAAAAAATAACCATCGTTTGTCTTATTCGATAGACGGACATTTACTGGATACTGTGGGATCATATTGTGAACTTGGTGTTACAATTACTGAAAATTTGAGTTGGTCGGAGTATATTTCAAATATCACTAAAAAAGCAAATAATAAATTATACCTACTTAATAAGACTTTTACAAAAAATCCTATTCAGGTTTTATTCGTTTGTATAAAACTTACGTCCGATCCCTACTGTTGTACTGTGGAACAGTTTGGTGCCCAGAATTAGTGCGCGATAGAACTTCTCGAAAATGTCCAAAAGAAAGCCACCAGACTATCTTTCAAACAAACAAGGCGAGATTACCCACAAAGACTTTCTTTAGCAGGGTTACCAACTTGTGAAGCTCGTCGACTCCGTGATGACTTAATTATCACATTCCGAATTTTAAAGTTTGGATATGAAAATCTGCAGCACTTGTTTATTTTAGATCATCAGAGCAGACTACGTGGACACAGTTTGAAACTGAAGAAGGAATCCTTTTCATGGACAAGGCGGCAACATTTTCTGTGTAATCGTATTTTTAGTATATGGAACAGTCTCCCAACGGAAATTTTAAATTCCCCATCTATAAATTCTTTTAAAAACCATCTAGACTGTTACATATTTGTAAACTGAACAATACTGTATACAATTTACTAGTTCATAGTTTAATTGCGTAAATAATTATTTTCTAATGTACTATTTAATTTTTCTTGTAAATGGGCTTCATGACTCCAGCCCTTATTACTATGTAATAATAATAATAATAATAACTTAAATTTCTCTAAGCCGCCTCTGTTTCGTTTACCACAGCCTATGGTCAAATTTCCGCTACTGTGATCGGCACTTTTCCTATTGAGTCCTTGAATTTTTGGGTATCGCTTACGTTCAATGCCACACTACACGTATATTTTTTATTACTATACTGTTTTTTATTTTATAATTGAATATACATTTAAATTATACTAAGAGACATTTTACATGTTGTCTACTGATCAACTGCCAGGACCGGCATTGCCTTTCTTTTATAAAATTTTTCCATTTGTAGTTTTGTTTTGGCGCTGCACGGCTTCCTGGGTTTTCTCGTTTGGATTATTTTCTCTATTATAGATATAGAAAGACATTCATTTTTTAAAATAAAAAAGATAAATATATAAAAAATTATTTATATTTGGACATTGAGATATTTTACGAAGAAGTTATCGCACAGTTGATTTCAAAAACAAATTTAAACCGTCAGTTGGTTAATTTGTTATTACGCAAATATTATAACAGAAAAAACATATTTACAGGAATGAACAAATGTAACAAAAATCTTAATTCATGTAGTCTAATGTTTCTCCAGAGCTTTCACCAGCAGATCATTCATTGATGTCAATAGAGTTCGAGGATCTTCTACTAGGCCAGCTCCTACCATGGAGTTCGCAAATAACTAAAAAGAAAAAAGTCTGTCAATAAATAAACTCTGGCATAACGAATATTTAGGATAAAAATAAACAAAGAGCGCCCTTCAATAATAAAATAGGTCTGTTCAGTAGTTTATGGACCTAAATAAGTAACTTATTTTCGACAAACGTTTTCACTCGGAAGAACAAAATTTTTATTACCAGATATAGCTATAAATTAAACAATACGACCCATTTCTTAACGTTTCTAAAATTTTTCCTCGAACAACAGTGACATTTAAAACTTACACTGGAGAATTCAATGTTCAGTCACGAAAGCCTAAAAGTAGAATAATTTGTTATGAGTGGCCAATGTCCAGTGTTTATGTCTAAACCGAAATTAACCCGTTTCATAATTTTAGCCCACATAACTTTAAATGCCAAATCTGAATTTTTTCAAAAGTTTTTCTGTATCTTCTGCAATTTTGCAGCAACAATTCCTGGATGGATAGACAGACGGACCGCATACAATTAAAGAATTCAAATTTTTCTTAGATTCTTCTTAGGGCAATATTCTATTGTATCATGTTTGCTTCAAAAATCTTTTCAAATGTCAAAAACTTATTGTTATCATTTTCTTCTTCTACTACTTCTTGGAGATCTTTCGATCTGTTTAATTCTGAAGCTGCCTCTGGTTAATTTCTTGGGAGGTAGATTGCCAACTATCCCTCCATCCTCCATCTTTTAGGTGGTCTTTCGAGAGGTCTTGAACCGGGCGGGTTGTTTTCTAGGAAAATTTTTGGAAGTCTATTCTCATCCATTCGTCTTACATGATTGTACCGCATCCTCTTGCGCTGCCTTCCCCATCTTACAATATCTTGAATTTTGCACTGCTCTCTAATGTTTGTATTTCTCACTCTGTCTCTTCTTGTTTTCCCCATTATTGTTCTTAGGGTTTTCATTTCGGCAACCCTTAGCATCTGTTTCGTTATGTTGGTATCTTCGCGCCCTTCTATGCCATATGTCATGATCGGTCGTATGCAAGTCTTGTAGATTCCAATTTTACTATCTGTGCGCATATACGGATTTGACCAGACTATCTCCCGCAGACATCCTGACCATGTGGATGCTTTGTTGATCTGACTCCTTAGGTCCTTTACTGGGTCATGTGTGTTTGATATATCTATGCCCAGATATTTGAATTGCATCACCTGTTCTATGGGGTTGTTCTCAACCACTTACTTACATCTGAGTGGATCTTTTGCTATTATCATACATTAGTTTTGTTGGTAGAAATGATCATATTTAGTTGGCAGCTTATTTGAAAGAACTGAAAGAGCTGTCTCTGAAGATCATCTTCTGATTCGGCAATAATTGCTGCATCATCTGCGTAACACACCATACCAATTCTTTTATTGCCCATTCTGTATTCGAGATTGAGAGATGTTTGTTTATAATTTTGCCCATGAGTAGGTTAAACAAGGAGGGGCTTAAACTGTCGCCTTGTCTAATTCCTCTCGGTGTTGGAATATTTTCAGTGAATTGGTCTCCTGCTCAAACTTTGGTTACATTGTTGTTATTTAGGTTATGGACTATCTTTGTTATGTTGGTCGGTGTTTTATTTTCTATTAATATATTTAGGATGTCTCCCAAGCATGTCAAACGTCTTCGTCAGATCAATGAAGCAAATATACGCTGGCATGCCGAACTCTATAGTTTTTTCTTTTATTTGTTTTATTATAAATACTGCATCTGTTATAGACCTCCCTCTTGTAAAACCTTGTTGTTCTTCAGCATTAGTAATTTGTCCTTAAGAATACTTGTTAAAAAGTTTCATCGTTGTAATTAAGAGGGTTATTCCTCTGTAGTTTTGTGGACAAGTTTATTGCCCTTTTTTAAATATGGGGATTGTGATGCTCTTCCCTGATGATGTCATTCTTCTGATGTTTCTCGATGTCGTTTAAGATTTTGTTAAATACCTGTGACAGTTTACTTACAAGTTCAGGGCCTCCATATTTTAAGAGATCATTGGGTATACCATCTATTCCTGATGATTTTCTGTTTTTTAGTTTCTTGATCTTTGCTTCTACCTCTTCGTCGTGAGATTGATTGTAGCACTTATATCTGTTTCATATTCGTTTATATTCAGCGTTTCTTCAGCATCATATAGTTCTTTAAAATGCTATTGCCATGTCTCTATAGGTACTCCCTTGGTCTGCACGAACTCGTTAACTAGTTTTTTCCTATTCCGAAGCATTTTCCATACTTTCTTTTTTACACCATGTAGGTCGTAGTCCATGTCTGGTGAATTTAGCCCAATGGTCTCTTTTAATTGATTGTATCTTGCATTTACTTCATTCGAACTTGGACATATTCTGCGAGAGCCTTCATTTCCTTCGCGATTGTGCTCTTTTATATCACAGGTAAACTTACTTCCCGTCATATAAAACTGGTACACTTTTTTTCCGAATTAAACTGTGTTCAGAATCAATTCGTTTTGTTGCCATTATAGACAACGAATTGCACTAAATCAAATATAAAATAAAACGTTACAAATGGTAATAAAATTTTAGATAGGTATTATTTTTATCATTACCACAAAAAATGATCAGAAGAAATAAATAAGCAGAGATAGGTTGAGTGATTAACCAAAATTTTTAAATGATCTTAAACGAAGTTACCGAACTCAACTGGATCTTTTCATAAGTTTTGTAACAGCAAACTGCCAAGATTAATTTATTATTTATTACAAAAAACGATAAAAAATGTGAAATACTGAATATATACTTTTATCCTACTATTATTACTAAAAAAACATCGATGCTAAAAAACCTTTAAAAGTAACATTTACAATCCAACATCTCATTGTAATGTTTTATTTATAATAATTTGAAGTTTTGTCTAGATTGATTATCTGTCATTATTTTTGAAATACAAATAATTCATTAATTGTTAACGAAACACAAATCAATGATGATACCTAATAGAATGATGGCAAATTTAAAAAAAATTAATATGAAGTAATGTTTAGATGCTATTTTCCTAACATATTTAATGAGTGACTGACATGATAAAAATTCTCGATACCATGATTTTAGCTTATTAGTAAACAATAAAACTGTGTGTCTGTTCACAGTCTTGTTTTTTAGCGGTTTTATATAATATTTTCGTTGAACTGCACTGTGCCCAAGAAAATCAAATGAACGACATTTGACAAGATCAACGTACACACTTAAAAAAACATCGATTTTATTATTTTAAGAATGTCCCAGTTTATATGACGGAACTGTAACCATATGCGGTTTTAATGTCAGACAGTTCTTATATACCTCATTGACAAAACGACGTTTTGGTGTGGTTTATCGCCCTCGTGTTAATTTTCCACTTCCCAATTGCTTCTTCTTCTGCTTAGTTGATAAATTTCCTGATTTTTTGCCAAGTATCCTCTACTCCCCATTCTGGTTATAACTCGATCTTTTAGTTTGCTGGTAATCCTGTTCTTATAAAGGAGTTTTGTACTCTCTGTTGCTAGCGACTCTATGTGTTTTTCGATGAGCATTGGGGGTTTTTCTGTTTCGTTGCGGACGTTCTAGTAGCATCTTGCATAAAACAAGGTTGTGATCGGTACCCAGGTTAGCCGATGTTAGGGCTCTGACAAAAAGTACTTGTGACGGTGTTATCACTCGATTTGTGATTATAAAATCTATCATTGATCGCTGGCCTCGATTATTGTTAAAAATGTATTTATGTTGGTCTTTATGAGAAAAGTATGTGTTGTTGATTCTCATTTCATTGCTAGCGCAAAAGTCTATTAGTGCTCATTAATTATTTCCGTAGTGCCGTTTTCATTAATTATTTCTTCGTTGTACTTTTGTTTTATATCTGGTATGACATCGTTTCCGATCGGTGCATTAAGATTCCCGAATACGATAATTTTGTACGGTGTTTTGTAGTTAGATAGAAATTCTCAGATTCTGCTGTGGGCTTAGATATGTCTGGGGCATATGTGTTTATCAGGTGCGTTGTGATGTTACGCATTTTTATAGAGATTATTAATAACCTATCATTGATGTAATCGATATCTTCGATGCTTTGCGTGTATTTATCGTGCAGCAAAATATCAACTCCGAAATGTGCTCTTTCTTGTTTAGCGTTTCCGCTGTATATGAGTGTAAACTCTCGGTATTTTGATGTTCCTTGGTATTTTTTCTTTGTTTCGGAAATTGCGCAGATGTTAATATTGTGTTTCTTTATTTCTATGATGATCTCCTGGTCTCTTCCGTTCCACGACGTTATGTTCCAGCACGCGATTCGTGTGATGGGTTTTACGTTGGCGTTTACCAATTTGTTTTTCCATTGTCATAGAGCGTGTCGTCATCTGATAGTTCCGTCCGGTATCCGAGGCTGTATCTTCAGTTCTGTGAGCCAGTATAGATTCTTTACCCCAGGTAGGAGGCTAACCTCACCTTAGGGACTCTCCTCCTTCCTTTATTTGATTTTAAAATGCATAAAAATACAAACCATATATGGAATTCAAAATCTGACAAAGATCTTTACTTGAAGTTAGTAAGTACAATTTGAACAATTAATTCTTCCATGCTCATCTACTTTATTTAGTCAATTCTTATTAGATTCTGCATCTCTTTCTTATGGGCCGGGTTTATCAACCAAGTCACCTTCCCATTGGTGATTTACGTCCATCCAGGTTTGGATGATTCCATGTAAAATATTTTGGCATTTCAGCATGTTCTTGAAAAAGGATCGCTTGCGCATGTTTCGAAAGAAGCTTGTCATAGTTCGTGCAGGTGGACGTCAGCTTGCTTTTATGCGGCGTCAGCTTCTCTAACTACATTCCTCCATAGGTACTTCTCTCGTACACCTTCTAGAAACTTGCATATCAGCGATTCTTCTTAGTGATTAATTAGCGTGTTAACGTTGAACATACCTAAACCATCCTAACGTATGCTCTCTCATTTTGGCACCATTTGATCCTTGACGTCCTCTAATATATTAACTCTGAACTTTATCCTTTTTTGTAACTACTTAT